TGTATATCATGCAATTTAAAAAAATATCAAGAATTGAATTCTGTAGTTATAGTCTTCTGAAGATTGTTCAGCCATAAGGATGTTAGCGATAATCATTATATGTATAACTTCTACATTTCTCATCTGAAAAAGTAACGAAAAGTTTCTCTTATAGTACGTACTAGAACGTAGTTCCTGTTGTACCTGTTTTTTAAAGTTTTGATTTTTAAGAAAATGACGGCTATTTCAATTTGTATAAGAAAATACGGATTTTCCTGAAAACTTGAATTTCAGAATTGGAGTAGTTGTCATTTTTTGAAAAATCAATTGGTTAAATTGATTTGATGAAACATACTTTCTTAAATATACCTGACGTTCAGGTGAGATAGTTTGCTCGACATTATAAGAATGTTAAATAATCGATAATGATGTAAGAAGAAAAAAAGGCAGGAGGTAGAACAGGTATTATTTACTACTGTATCCGGATTTACCCGGCGTCCATATTTTCCCTATCCTCTCTATCAAATTGTGAACATTATGATGCACAAATTTCTACCTTTCAGTTTTTTACCTTTACATAAAGTTAAATATCTTATAAAAACTACTTTATAATTGAATCGAGCTTCCTCCAAGTATAAAATCATCATTCCTCAGGTGAGAGAAGAAAACTTGACACATTTTCCTGTCGACTAAGTGAGACTAGACCGTCATTTGAAAAGAGAATAATTCACTTCGTAGCGGTCGAGAGGTTAAGAGGCGGCGAATTTAGATTCATTATAAACTTTTATGACTTAAATGAGACAGTTCCCGTGAAGAAAGTAACAGGGTTTCGCATTAAGGAAGTTAATTCCGGATTCGTTGAGAACTTTCTTACACTACTATCATTGAATAAGCGGATACTACTCAGAGCCATGAGAATCGCGACAAAGTTTACATTTATCTTACTTCCTTTTTTATGCAAGCGATAATATTTCTTTTTCTTCCGACGTACTAGAGCTTTAGAATAATTTTTAAGAACTGTTTATGAATACTCAGGTTTATTATTTATATCATATTAAGCGATAAACATATGTAAATCTAAACCACTGGATTGCAGCCCAATATACATACAGTCATGTATGAGGCCCTAGCGAGAGGGTGGAGGCAGATTGGCCCTAATGAGAGAGTGGCGGCGAACGATGCCCGCGCGAGGGCGGTGGTGAGAGAGAGAAAGGCGAAATAATCGGAGTCCATGTGAGGGCGGTGGTATGGGTGATTTTTCGATACCCATGCGGTTTTTTTCCTCTTAGAGGTCAATCTTCTACATCAATAATTAAATAATTATGTAGATAACTAGAACATTGCATCGATTCCTTAGTTTGAGACGTTGCGTCGATTTCTTTGGCCGTTTTTCTCCTCTCAAGAGGAAAGAAAGGCCGGAAAATAAGGCCGAGCCCTGAGGCTCTTGTGTTGCTTTCGCCGGAAAAATTCGGAAAAAACCCACGCCAACCCGGAAACAAAGGCCTGCAGGCCAACGTTCTTTTTTTACCGCTTGGGCCCAAGCACTCTTCGTTGGATCTTCAACGCGACGACATCGTGTGACCTTAACATATCAGAGTTTTTTCTTTGTGTCTCAGTTCGGAACTTTCCTTGTCAAATCGAGTGAACCGTTTGATTTATCTAGTTTAAGTGCGAGTTATGTTATCGGATTTAATTGAATAAGAGACGCTGTTATTATACGCGCCAATTGGGGTTTTTTATGCCGTCACGGCTTTTTCCCCAACGAGCCAATAAACAATCAGTGATTTAGTGGCTCAACCGAGTGTACATCATTTATTTTTTTTCCCTACCAATCAACCTCGGAAGGACTTCGTATTGAAGGAATTTCGATTAAACAGAGAGTGTTCGTATTCCTAAACTCAATGGAATTGAGGATTGGGCAGCATGGAAGTTCCGAGTTCGAGTCATCCTGAAAGCCTCAGGAGCCTGGGACGTCGTCGATGGAACATCGGTACGGCCTAACCTAGCAGAAGGTGCAGCCGCAGCAACGATAGCGGATCATGAAAAAGCGATCATCGCCTGGAACAAGCATGATAGCGTGGCACAAAATGTTATCGTGACCTCCATCGAGGAAAAACCATTTTTGCATATTATAAATTGCGTGTCTGCGAAATCAATGTGGGATAAACTCTCCTCGGTTTATGAGCAAAAGTCAGAAACCAGTGTGCACATGCTTCTGCAGAAATGGTACAACATGGAGAAAAACCCCAGCGACGACATCGCAACACACATCGCCCGGCTCGAGCATTTGGCTCATCGATTAGAACATCTGGATGAGAAAATTCCGAATCAGATGATTATCACCAAAGTTCTCATGACCTTACCGCCGTTCATGAATTATTTTGTTAGTGCCTGGGAGTCAACAGACTCAGATGATCGTACTATATCAAATTTGATCTCACGCCTTACCATCAAGGAAACGCGTCTGAATCCAGCTCAAGACACGGGGAGGACAGTCTTCGCGGCAAACAAATCTGATAACAAGAAAAATGGTAAAAATGTTAAAAAACCGGGCAACTGCAACTATTGCCACAAATCGGGGCACTGGAAAAAGGAATGCAGGAAGCGACTGGCTACAATTAAAAAACAAGAAGGCACTGACAAAGGAGAAGCTCTTTTCGGAGAAGCGCTGACCTCGACAGATCCAGACAATAATTTCAATGGTAGCACTTGATTCATGGACTCGGGAGCAACAGATCATATGTCACACCAAATTTCCTGGTTCTCCATGTACACTAGCTTCACTGAGAAGAAATCTGTAAGGATTAGAGACGGAAAAACAATCCCTGCCCTGGGACGTGGAGAAATCAACATCCTTGCATTTAACGGACTGGAATGGAAGTCGAAATATTTGAAAAACGTTCTTTATGTACCAGACCTGACGTACAATTTGTTCTCTTTAGGTACAGCACTTGATAACGGCATGAGGCATGAATCAGACAACAGGACATGCAAACAGATGAAGGATGGAAGTGTTGTTGCGGTGGGAGTCAAGGATGACAAACTTTTCAAGAGATTCAAGGTCATCAGTGGCGAACCTCAGGCAAACGTCGCTCAGAAGACCTCACTCAGAACCTGGCACGAACGAATGGCCCACCAGAATCTCGCTCAGGGGAAGAAAGTCCTCAAGGTCATGGGGGTCGAGAGCAACGATCATGACTTCAAATGCCAGGACTGTATAAGAGGAAAGATGCACCGCCTTTCTTTTCCCAAGAGCAAGTCTGAAACGAAAAGGATAGGCGAGCTGATTCATAGCGATCTATGCGGCCCCATGCAGGAACAGTCTCTTGGTGGGCCAAAATACTTCCTCTTGTTAAAGGACGACTTTAGCCATCATCGTACCGTGTTCTTTTTAAAGAATAAAAATGAAACAAGCACCTGGCTCGAGTATTACATCAGGAAAACGGAGAAACACGTGAAAGATGGCATAAAGACCCTCAGGAGCGATAATGGTCGAGAATTCATCAACGAAATGTAGCGAACCCGACCAGGCAACTCGGGATTACTCACCAGAGGACAGTCCCCTACACCCCTCAGCAGAACGGATCAGCTGAGAGGGAGAATAGGAAAATCGTGGAACTAGCCAGGACAGTGCTACATGCAAGCAAGATGCCGATCAAGATGTGGGCCGAAGCCGTTAATTATGCCACCTACACCCTGAACATAACAGGAACGAGTAGCCTGGAGGGAAAGACTCCGAACCAACTCTGGCTTAGAGAAGCTCCGAACATCTCTCAACTCAGGATCTTCGGCGAAGAAGCTTTTGTCCATATCCCTAAAGAGAGTCGGAGAAAGTGGGATGTTAAAGAAGAGAAAGGCTTCTACGTTTGCCATGACGAATATACCAAGGGCTACCGGATCTTGTTACCTGATAGGGGTCAAGTAAAAATTTACAAGGATGTCATGTCAAGCTATAGCAAAAGCACTGATAAAAGGGAAACATCGCAGATTATCAGTTTCGATTTGGAGTCCAACATCGAGGAGGATCAGGATAAAGAAGGCCAAGAGGAGGACATTGATCAGGAATATCTCTCCGCCGAAGAGACTCCTCAAACGTCGGATCCTGAACAGAGTCAGGGCGGAAACGATGATGCAGGTAGATATGACTTGAGAGATAGCGACACTCTTCGTCGTCCAGCAAGGTACGTCGAAGCGATGATTTCCATATCTGACCTGGAGGAGCCATGGAGCTATCAAGAGGCAATCGAGTCTCAGATATCGAAGAGGTGGAGAGAAGCCATGGACGACGAGATGAAGTCGCTCCGCGACAATGATACCTGGACTCTCGTCGATCCTCCGCAAAACCAGCACATTATCGATAATCGATGGACCTACAAAATCAAGAGAGATGGCCAAGACTGGTAGCCAGAGGATTCCGACAAGCAGCTGGAGTAGATTACCAGGAAACATTCAGTCCAGTGACGAGGTTCGACTCAGTTCGAATAATTCTTGCTGTGTCGGCATCCAGAAAGCTCCACCTCGCACAGTTCGACATCAAAACCGCCTTCCTGTATGGTGACATCGATGAGGTAATCTACATGCGTCAGCCAGAGGGATACGAGGATGGTACCAAGCGAGTCTGCAAGCTGAACCTCAGCCTGCACGGACTCAAACAGGCCTCGAGATGTTGGAACCAGAAGTTCACTGATGTGCTCAACAAGCTCGGTCTCCATCCCACAAACGCCGATCCCTGCGTCTTTGTGAATAAAGACAGCGAGGACTTCCTCGCTCTGGCAATACACGTTGATGACAGGCTAATAGCTGCTTCGAGAAAAGCAACGATTGAGACGCTTGTAAATAAGCTCAGAAAAAAATTCGATATTGTTTCAGGGAATGCAAACATGTACCTGGGTGTGCAAATCGAGAGATTCGATGATGGATCTATCTTTCTTCATCAGGAAGCTTATGCTTAGCGGATCATACAACGTTTTAGAATGGAGGATGCAAACCCTGTCACAGTTCCAGCCGATTGAAATCATGAGATGTGCGCTGAAGTGCATAAAAACGACACCAGGATCGCCCCGGATATACCGTATCGTCAAGTCGTCGGTAGTCTCATGTACCTAGCAATGGCCACACGCCCTGATATCACGTTTGCTGTTAACGCCGCCAGCCAGCATCTGGAGAACCCAAGACCTATTCACTGGAATGCCTCGAAAAGAATTATAAAATACGTGAAGGGTACCTGCAACTACGGCCTGTACTTCCCGACAGATCGAAAGAATCATGTACACACATTCAGCGATGCAGACTACGCTGGGGATACTGAGACCAGAAGATCAACAACCGGACTGCTCGTGAAGCTCGGAGACTCCACAGTGACCTGGAGGTCACTAAAGCAGAGAACTGTCGCTCTATCCACAACGGAGGCGGAGTATGTGGCGGCGAGCACGACTGTCAAGGAGGTGATCTGGACCAAGGCCCTGCTCGACGAACTCGCCGTCCCAAGCGAGAAAACATCGCTCTATGTTGACAACGTGAGCGCTGTTAAGCTGATAAAGAACCCTTAATATCACAAGCGAACGAAGCACATTGATGTGCGTTACCACTTCATACGAGAAAGATACAAGGACAGTGAGTTTATTTTAATCCACGTTCCATCCAAGGATCAACAAGCCGACATCCTCATAAAACCATTGCAAGGATCGATTTTCGAGCGGAGGAGGATGCTCAACGTAACTAACAAAAATAAGATTACAAGTATCGTGAGACACTGATCTGCCTTATAAGGATTAAATTTTCTGGTGCGAGTTTTAGAAAAAGAAAATGTAATCATGTAATTCGTAAACTGCCGCCTTACACCAGCGCCACCACATGTGATTCTCTTACGTTTCGCGCGTATCTTTGTACCACCAAAGAGAATTGATTCCGTAATAAATTCTTATTTTTATATCTCAATCGTCGTCAATTATTAATTGCCTACCCGTTTTCTCAAGTGTTTGAAAATTTTTAAGTGAAGAGTGACAGTGGTGTAATGNGTGTATTAATAATTGTTATTCATAATAACGCATGAATAACAATTTCCTTGCATTGTTATTCAAGTAGTTTGTTAAACGCTTCGTACTGAACGAAGCGCTTGTTCAAACACGTAAAAGACCGGGCGGTCGGATCCGAGCCAACGCTCCCGAGTCGATGCCCGCGTTAACCGAGCGCTCTGATTGGTCCGTGTTTTTCGTTAATGACTCGGTAACCAAGCCCCATTCTGCATTTTGCCAAAGGAAATTGTTGTTCAGGAAGACCCTCCTAATAATGCCATTTTCGGCTCCAACACTTTCTGGGACACCCTGTATAGGATGTTCCAGAAAATGTATTAGAAGTTGATTGGATAGAAAAGGTGTTGGAAATTGTTGTTCAGAAACACGTCCAGTATCATCCTTTTTCGGCTCTAACACTTTTTATACACGTATGTACTATGTTGTATAAAAATCGGTAAAGGTAAAAAATGTTAGAAACATCGAAACACATGCAACAATTCTTCAATTTCTTAGTACATTAATTGAATTATACCGAAACTGAAAGTTGTTGAAAACTATAATACAATTTTCATTATTTTAAATTTTTTGTAGTTCATGGCAAGATTAGACAATTTTTCTGAATACGTTTATATAACTTACTTACATCAACCAAAAACAAATTTTNAATTTCTCTTAGAAAGCACTCATTTTCAGGAGGGGTTTTAAAAAAATAAAAAAGTAAAGTATCACTTTATAAAACCTAAGACTTTTCATCGATCTGCGCCAAATTCTGTATGTGTACACTTTAAGACAGTGTTCCTCAATATGGGGCCCCTCAAATTGCCCCCCATTAGGCCTACACTCCAATTTAATTAATTTAATGGGGCAAATATAAAAATGGACCTGTTCAAAATTTTTTAATTACTTTTCTTTTTTATTTGTAATATAATGAGTAAAAATATAATGAGTAAAAATGAGTATAAATATGTAAAATAATATTTTTTTTTTAAGGGGGCGGGCCGAAATTTTTACCGCTTAGGGCCCCCACTGGTTTTAATCTGCCGCTGCTAAATAGAGTCTTCTCTATCTCAAAGAAATTAAATTCCACAGTCGAATAATAAAAAAGTAATCTCATTTTAAAATGTGTGAATATGACCGTCTGTATATGTATGTTTATTGCGACACACTGAAGGATAGGTACCTATGTAACAATTGTTTATGTACGTCGAGCTAAAATCTAATTATTAAGGAGAAACAATCTTTCCTTGCTGAAAACATTAAGTTTAGTTTCAGTTGAGAAGAAAAGCAATTCAACGAAATAGATACTCTTCAAAGTACAGATCGTTCAAACATCGCATAGCTTTGTCGTGAACCGAGAGCTACAAGATCTCCGCGGCATCGAAAACGTCAAGGAAAAGGGTCGCTGGTCTTTGGTAAATTGGAACCGTGTTGCTATTCGTAATCCGTAGCGTAGAGCTTCGATTCTCTCGGGAGATATTACCGTTTGACGAATTCAGAGCTATCTATCTTTTTATTTCACCTCTTGCATTTATCTACTAAATAGCAGGGCGCATTAAGCGGTAAGCGGACTAGAGCCGCGCGAGGCTCCGGGTAGCCAAGGGAACTCAGAGGAGCTCGGAGATCTAAAAGTATCTTAACTTATTAAAGATCTTAGAAATGACCAAAAAGGTTCAAAAAACGCTCCTTAAAATAATGAAACAAATCTAAAAACAAAATTTTAAATTTATGATCTCTAATTTATACTCTTTGACTGTTTATTTCAGTAAATGTTTAATAGTGACACAAAGTAACCGAATAAAAATTAGGAGGCTCTTAAGAAATATTTAAATTAAAAATTTTTCTAATCATTAATCCAAGGAA